CGTTCTGGCGCGTTTCACATAACGCGGTGAATCAGGCTGCTCTTCTTTGATGGTAGCACTCGCCGAAACTTCCAGATCTGATGCCTTTTTGCTCCCCGAACAGCTGAATCCAGCGGCCTCTAAGTATGGGTGCTCGTAACTCTGCTCGCCCAATCCAGGCTCGTTGATGAAACCTCTGGGACCACGTGCAGATGGAGGCCTGACGGTTCTCGAAGGCGGGGCCGGATCGCCTCTCATAGCCCGGCGCAAATATTCCAATGACCACATTGCATCTTCATGGTAATTCGGCGGAACTTCTGTGAGCTCCCCATTTTTCCATTTTTGCATTGTGTTTTTGACCGCTGGCTTGAATATATCCATTCCTTCATTGTCTGACCAATGAATAACAGGCACGTCTGCCAACTCCTTGGTGGCGTTGCGATGAATGATCCCCTCGCGCGAAATGACGATGGCGTGGAAGCGGCGCCTGAAAGCAACCCAATCTTCTTCGTCAGCGTCTTTGTCTATTGACGGAAGAACCAGTTTCTGCCATTCTTCATCTGTAATTCTATATTTGCGCTTTATTTGTTTGCGCAATTTGTTGTCGCACTGCTGGCTCACAGCTTGTCGGCGCAAGTGCACGCCGAAACCAGGGCCGCCCCATCTGGCCCAGAGGAGGGCGTCTACCTCCGCTGGATACAACAAGGCCTTCACAAGATCGGCGCCGAGCTGATGTAATTTTCCACCATCAAAAATACATGGCTTGAGCGCGGTATTTCTTTCGCCCCTGAACAGGTCGAGGAATTTTGCTGTGGCCACTGCAGGCTGCAAATCGTCTCTCTTTTTTTTTTTTTTGATTTTATCCAATAGTTAGACACCATGAATCCATGCGCTCTTGAACGCAAGCTTTTACCGCACTCAGATATTCCAACCCAGAGAATACCATGCTCTTTATGTGTCGCTATCTTATCCCTCAACGCCAAGTCAAGAAACCATGGCTTCAAATATTTGCACGTTGTGAAATTGAAATCGATCGTCTTAGCCGTAGAAGCGCCTCTCGCACAGCATTCTAAAAAAGATATGCATTTTGATTCCGGCCAGTCCAAAATGGGGCTTCTGGGTTCTTTTTGTCCAAACATCAACCCGCTCTGCGAATTGTCCGTCATTATTTGAGGAAGGCCTCATTTTTCGCATGAGTGCATATCCAGCAGAAATTTTGCCGAAACCGACAATATTTGGTTCTTTGTCGTCCAACAATTTGCCGTGCCGGACCTGAAACCCACCAAGATCTTCGAATATCTCCTGGAATATCTTCTTTGAACAATACGGGCTGCGAGGCCACCAAGACACGCAGTACACGGAGCCGCAGGCCAAGTCTGCTTCCACCTTCGCAAGTTTTTGTTGTTCTTCGAACATAATATGTTTGATAACATGCCACTTATCTCTTGCGAGAACAACTGCAAGTTGCATTGTGCACGGCACTTCCCACGAGCTCGACTGACCGAGTGGATGCGGCAGATTTGTTTAGCTGCCTTCTTCCATCTCTTCCGCTACCAGTCCTTTCACATGGTCGTTGTATTTCCCGTCCCATTCGTCACTCCAAAAAGTATTACCGTTGGAAGTAGTTGCCAACGATTTTACCGTAGCGAGAGCATTATCAACAAAAAGTCCGTTCCATTCGAAAATGCCATCAACTACACATTTGTTTTTCTGACTCCAGTTCGTTGGAGGAAATGGATATATCGGTAGATCTGCAATTTCTGATACCACTGGAGCATCAAACTTGATAATTGGACTCTGCGTAACGTACTGCAACTTCTGTTTTTCAACTTCTGCGCGCGTGTCTACCAGAATTTGATTCGTTCTCCCTGGCGTGTCTAATAATACTCCTAAGGTCTTCATGCCGCCGCATGGGGCGTTAGCCATCGCGTCAACGAGAAGTTGACTAGGTTCTCCAGCTTGTACCTTTAACTTCTGCTGACAACGGGAAGCCGCCCGCCAGCTCCAGCTTGCACGCTTGAACCACTAATGGCAAGAAGAAAGTGGAAGAGGAAAAGGACTGAATGATAATAATAACAACAATGGTGATGCAATAGCCAGTGAATTGTTCAACCTCTGAAGCCCGCCCCTGCCGCCCCCCTTTGACCGCGTTCCGCGGCCAAGGGGGCGACGAGGGTCACCGCGACATGAAAGAGATGATTTGTTCAACCTCTGAAGCCCCTGTCGCCCCCCTTTGACCGCGTTCCGCGGCCGGGGGGGCGACGAGGGCCACCATGATGTGAAAGAGATGATCTGTTCAACCCCTGGCGCCCGCCCCTGTCGCCCCCCTTGGACCGCGTTCCGCGGCCAGGGGGGCGACGAGGGCCACCGTGACATGAAGGAGATGATCTGTTCAACCTCTGACGCCCGCCCCCGTCGCTCCCCTTTGACCGCGTTCCGCGGCCAGGGGGGCGACGAGGGTCACCCTGACATGAGAGAGATGATCTGTTCAACCTCTGAAGCCCGCCCCTGCCGCTTCCCTGTGACCGCGTTCCGCGGCCGTGGGGGCGACGAGGGCCACCATGACATGAAGGAGGTGATCTGTTCAACCTCTGACGCCCGCGCGGAGGGGGGGGGGGGGGCTGGGGGGGGGGGCGACGACGAGGAGAGGAGACGACGAGGGGGAGGAGGGCGAGGAGGAGGAGGACGAGGACGAGGAGGAGTAGGAGGAGGAGAAATCAGTGAATTAGGAGGAGGGGGGGGAGGAGGAGGAGGAGGAGGGAGGGGGGGGGGGGAGGGGGGGAGGGTGAAGAAGAGGACTGCTCGTTTCTTCGTAACGAGACAGAATATGAATTCTTTACCGACGTTCCTGCGAACACCGCAATGCCTGCCTGTGCGACAGATCCCTCGAGCACCGCGGAGGCGGCGGAGGGGGGGCGCAAAGCGCAGAAATATAAATATCAATGCGAAATATCATTTTGTTGTCGTGTATTTCTTTTGCAAACAAGTTTTTTCACTGCAAAGGAGGACGCGTGCGATAGCTAGAAGCTACCTTGGAAACGCTAGCGAGCAGCCAGCCCGAGGGAACGGAGAATATCGGCCAACCAGCAGTTGACGCGCGCGCTAGTGACGGCGCGCCCTGCAACCGATTTACGCGTTGCTGCGACATTGGGATTCTCGGAATTCCAAACTCTCACGCGAAAGCGAAAAAGTGTGGCCGCCCAGTTCAATAGCTTTCTCCTGTGGCAAAAGAGCTTCGATGATATTCGAAAGAGTGGCTCCGATGTCGATTTTGCATGCCGCGGTGCTATCGACGTGCACGACGCTGGTTCGAAGACGCGCTGGAATTAAACATGGCGACCGTGAGCGACGTATTGGGACGCACTGGCTGCAACATCGCTCCGCTCGTTACAGGGTGCTATTTTCGCGAGTGTGCTTCTGCTACGAATAACTGCCGACTCCCAAAAATGATTTGCGGCTTCTTCCAAAGTGGATGATAAAACTCAAGTTTATACGCAGACGAAAAGGTCACCATCACTGCGGCGTCTGGAGCGAGCCACGCCATCGACTCGAAAGCGTTCGTCTTGAACTCGTCGTTGGTAGTTGCGTGCGAACATCCGTGGTTTTGTTCGGCATCAGAATCTGCCCAACGCGGGCTTCCCCAATAGACAAGACTAAACCGAACAGGGGGGCCGTTTAACAGTGTAGTAAATTCTTTGAAAGGTTCGGAACCGCTCGCTGGGAAACCACTGATGTGGAAATATGGGCCGTTCGCTCCCTCGTTTTGGAGGCGCTTGATGTTGGAACGCGCCTCTTTTTCGATTGTTTCGGCGTCGTTATCGTTGCTTGTTGGGTCCGGTTGAATTGGCCCTTTGTCAAGGCGATCTGATAGATCCGTGAGATGCAGCTGCCACAGCGGGAATAACTTTGGTGAATCCATGTGCGCGGGGCCTCGCACTCAAAAAATGCTCAGCGTAGCCACCGACCAATAGTTGGCGATATTTTTGAACCGCCGTGAGCCGGGCGCAAAAGAGGCTGGAGGGGGGGAGTTGGCGGGGGGAAGCTGGGGGAGGAAGCTGGGGAGAGGGAGCTCGAGGGAGGGGGCCGGGGGAAACTGGGAGGACGGAGCTGGGGGAGGGGGCTGGAGGGGGGGGGAGCTGAGGAGATGGAGATGGAGGGAAGGAGCTGGATAGAGGGAAGCTGCTCGCTCTGCCCTCGCTCCTGACAGCAGCGCGTTCCTTCGCTGCGATTGGGCCCCGACCTGCCCGCCCCCACCAAGCGCAGAAGAAGACGGAGGAAGAGGAGAAGGAGTAGGAGGAGGAGGAGGGGGAGGAGGAGGAGGAGGAGGAGGAGGAGGAGGAGGAGGGGGGGGGCAGGGGGAGGAGGAGGAGAGGGCGAGGGCGTACATACGACGACCTGGTCGACTGCTCAGGTGCTTCAGTACTGGGAGCTGGCGCCGAGTGCAAAAGAGCTGCTCGTGCGGCGCCTGAGCTGGCACCAGCAGATGGCACGTTTTCCTGGCAGTCATCAGCAGCTCCTGTGTGCACTGTTTGGCCGTTTGCCAGCGCTGGAGTTTGATCGTTGCAGTCCTGTGGTCGCTGATCGACTGACAAAGCATGCGTCTCCATGGGCTCGTCGTCTCCAGGGGGATTTTCAGGAAGCTTGGAAGATCTTGGGCGGGGAGGCCATGGTGATGGAAGAGCTCTCCGAGTTCCCCTGCAGGTTCGTGGACCCGGAGGTGGCCCCCGACTTCGTCAAGATATATTTCTCGGTTATTCGTTCGGTCCAGGTCCGAGTACAAGTTCCTCCGCCAGGCTATCTGCCCCCGCAGGAGGTTCCTCCACCAGTCCCCGAGGCCCCGCGGGAATGGCAGCGTGAGTGGGTGGAGGGCGACGGTAGGAGGTGCGATATGGTATTTCGTACGAAACGTGATCTACCTAACCATCTTCGCGCTAAACATCACGTTCGCAATGCTGGGCACTTCATCTATCCCACTAATGTGTGTGTGTGTGTGGTTTGCCGTGCGGTTCTCAGCTCTCGAGTGGTGGCTGGACGTCATCTTGCTCGCTCGCTGGTTCGGGGTTTTTGTCGACCGGATGGGGCTCGGAAGTTCCGCCCTCTGGCTCCTCCTGGTAGCCTCGCGTGCAGACTTTGCGGGGTTGAACGTGCCGACCTGGATCATCCCTGTCGCCATCTGGTTCAGCATCTGCCGCGCGCGGTGCTGCCTCAGCGGCCTCGCCCCCAGTCGGCCCGTCGGCGTCGGCAGCAGTATGGGCCTGGAGGACTTGAGGGAGACAGTGAAGACGATGGGGCGCCTCGTGTTAGCGGATTCCCAAGAGATCCAAGAGTTGGTCGACGTCGGGTTAAGGAAGTTCGAAGCGGAGCAGGGCGGCCTGTCCGAGCAGCAAGAGGCGATGGGCCTGTCCGAGCAGCAAGGGTCCACCGCCCTGCGCGAGAAGGTATATATATATATATATATATATAAACGGTGAGCAGGTCTACGTGGGCAGGGGTCCGATGCGCGCGGTGAATTTCGCAGCGTCGGTGAAGTGGTGGGGCAGGCAGGGCAACCTGACCAAGCAGGAGCTGACGGAGGGCTTCGTGAGTCTGTGGATGGACGTGATCATGCGTTCCACCCCCCAGCAGGTGGCAGCCCCGGCGCCCTATTTCCGTTGGAAGCAGCACAGGAGCAAGGGCAAGGGCAAGGGCATCAGCGACGACATGCAGGCGGAGGTAAGGGGCACCGACAAGGGGATGATCGTGTACGCGGTGGAGCTCCCCCACACGAACGGCCCAAAGCTGTCGACGCTGCTGGCGGAGGCGGTGGAGGACACGAAGGCGATCCGCAGGTCAGGCGCAGCCCCTCCAGGTTCGTTGCATCGCCAGCTCTCGAGGATCGACGAGATGTGAGTGCGTCTTCGACGACGGGCCCACGTCCAGTGGGGGGTCGGGCCGATAACCGAGGAGATGCTGAGCATCGTGGGCCTGGCCAGAGCATTTTCACGGTGAGGGACTCGGTCTCTGATTCAGTGGCGCCCGCTGTTCAGATTTTTTTATGCGAGTCCGACGGGGTTCGTCTGGCGTCAGAGCGAGACATTTAAGGCCTTACAGGCTGCTGGCCATCTCCCGCCGAGACCCCCATCCCCGTCCTTTTCTGTTCCGACGTTAACCCTCCCTCGACAGGCGCCTCGTGGGCGCGGTAGGGGCTCCAGTGGAAAACGTAGGTCTCAGCCCCCCTCGGAGGCCCCCCATCGGGGCCAAATGCATCTGGGCAGGGGGTTGCCTCCTCGCGGGGCGGCGCGCCTGGCAGTGGCGCCTGATCGAGGTGGGTGGGGGGCTAGCAAGGTGGTTCTGGCCCTGGCGGCTCCACCGTGTTGGTCTCCTTCCCCCTCCGATGTGGGTGCCAACGTCGCGGCGCGTGCACGGCTCTTACTTTTAAAATCGGCGGGATTAGAGTTTCGCCCCTCAGAATCCAAGCTTTGCTGATTTTTTGTTGCGTCAAGGCTAAGCTGAAGAGGGATTCCATGAGCTAGTCATAGTCATAGTCTCCTCCTCCTCGTCCTCCTCTTCATCGTCGTCCTCCTCCTCCCTCCTCCTCCCCCCTCCTCCGCCTCCTCCTCCTCCTCTTCATCCTCCTCCTCCTCCGCCTCCTTCTTCCTCCTCCCCCCTCCTCCGCCTCCTCGTTCTCCTCCTCTTTCGCCTCCCTTTGCACCTTTGAAATTAAATGCATGGGGAGGGTGCCAGCGGAACTTCCAGGTTCCGTTGGCACCCTCTATCATGAAAACCAATGAAAACATATGAAAACACATGAAACATATGAAAACGCATGAGATCACATGAAAACACATGAACACACATGCAAACACATGAAAACACATGACAATATATGAAAACACATGAAACACATGAAAATACATGAAAGCACATGAAAAAACACATGAACACCATGAAAACACAGGAAAACCAAACACATAACAACACATGAAAACACATGAAAACACATGAAAACATGAAATTCATGAAAACACGTGAAAACACATGAAAGCACACATGAAAACACACGACGGACGCCCCGACCGATCTTGCCCACCACGCACGCCATCCCGACAGAAAAACGCCACCTCGCCACGCCCTGACCCACCGCGACGGCCGCGAAGGCCCCCCTCCGACGCACTTCGCCGCTGCGTCGTCCGCCTCTTGTCGACGTGGTGCGGGTTGATGTAGATCAGAGCTCCTGTATGGAGCATCGCCCAGGGCTTCCCACCATCAGCCCACCACGCACGCATGCCCGACCACCACGTAATTCCAGCCACCACCCACCCACAGCGCCCACCAGAACCCACCCGACCGCCCCAGCACGCGCACCGACCCGCCCATTCCCCGCGGAGCGTGGGTACGGCACTTCTCCGCTGCGTCGTCCGCCAGCGCTTGTCGACGTAGTGCGGGTTGATGCAGATCCAAGCCTTGGCTGGGGGAGGGGGGGGGGGCACGGTGAGGCGGGTGAGCGTGGACGCTCAAGGATTTGAGTGTTTTTTGGGTGTAGGTTCGCAGTTCATGTTTATGTTGTTTAGGTCGGTGTGTGTTTGTAGGGGTTTAGGCCCTGCTGGGGCCCTTCCCGCGTCTTGCCACCAAGCCGAGATCGCAAGATCGAGCTCCCCCGTTTTGGCCACATGTGGCCCAGGGGGGGGGGGGTGCGTGGCGACCCGAACTTGGGCTCAAGTCTTGGTTCGAGTAGCCACGCAAGGGGCACGGGGAGCTCGACCACGGGCCCACGATCTGTTCGTGCCCCTCCGTCACCGCCCCGTGGGCGGCAGCGCTCAGGCGATCAAAATGATGCTTTCGAGCTCGCGTGGCAGCCGCACGGGCGATCGAGGAGCGGAGGAAGGAGGGAGAGGAGGATTCACAAGGAAACGAATCAGCATACCCGAGCTCAGAGTATGTTCCTTAAGGTATGTGTGTACCCTGTGGGGCGGTGAGCTCGGGCATGCATATTCGTTTCATCAAGTGTTGATTTCTCGGAAAGGCTGACCAAATTTCTTAAGTTGCGTTTGCGCCCTGAAGGGCGCCAGGCTCGGGTATGTATGCTCACTTTTTTCAGCTTGTCGTGCCCTGAGGGGCGATGCACAGGCTCTGACTTCAATATACCTTCCGAGCTTACAAACGGGTGCAGCTCAAACAAGTGAATCCGCATGCCTGGGCCTGTTGCTAACAGGGGGCACGTCAGCACAGGAAGTGCGAATACTCGAGCATCCTCCTCGAGATCCCCCCCTCGCGGGCCCCGCCCGATCTGACGTCCGCACTCTTTCGGCCGCCCGCCCGATCGACCGATCAGGCCGCAGGCCGCGGCTGTCTGACCGGGCGAGGGGCCGAAGGAGTGCGGACGCTCGATCGACGGTGTCCTTCTCCTCTTACCACGGCTCACCGTGAGTCACTTTCTCGCGCGAGCTGGCTCGCGCCCAATCCGAAATGCTCTAGAGAGCTCCGTGCATGCCCCTCTCTGGGGGGGCATCCTAAAATAGCAATGTACAAGTACATTGCCCCGCTCGAGCCGCCGCCGCGGCTCCGTCCAGGATCACGATGTTCCACCTCTGAGGTGGAGGGAAATATGGAAGGATCGAGGAGGAGGAGAAGGAGGAGGAGGAGAAGGAGGAGGAAGGAGATGATAAAGCAGAGGAAGCGGATGAGGACGACGATGAGGATGAGGATGAGGATGAGGATGAGGGTGATGATGAGGATGAGGGTGATGATGAGGATGATGCTGATGATGCTGATGATGATGCTGATGCTGATGACAAGGATGATGATGATGAGGATGATGATGATGATGCTGACGATGATGCTGATGATGGTGATGAGGAGGAGGAGGATGAGGGGGGAGGAGGATGACGATGATGCTGCTGATGATGATGCTGATGATGATGGATATGATGATGCTGATGATGCTGATGATGATGCTGATGCTGATGACAAGGATGACGATGATGAGGATGATGATGATGATGCTGACGATGATGCTGATGATGCTGATGAGGAGGAGGAGGAGGATGAGGGGGAGGAGGATGACGATGATGCTGCTGATGATGATGCTGATGATGATGGATATGATGATGCTGATGATGCTGATGATGATGATGATGATGATAATGATGATGATGATGCTGATGCTGATGCTGATGATGATGATGATGATTATGATGATGCTGATGCTGATGATGATGATGATGATGAGGAGGAGGAGGAGGAGGATAAGGAGGAGGATGATGAGGAGACGGAGGGCGAGACGGAGGAGCAATGATGAGGAGGAGGATGAGGAGGAGGACGAGGAGAACACAGGAAAAGGAAGACGAGAACGGAGAGGAGGAGGAGGACAAGGAGAAGGAGGAGGAGGAGGATCGAAGAGGAAGAGGATCAGGACCTAGGACGAGTGAGGGCACGGCGGGAGGATGGGGACGCGGTGGGATCGAAGAGAGGGATGATTATGAGGAAGAGGAGGCGACGACGACGAGCCCACCTGTTGTTCACGATGTGTGACCCTGGATCTGATCCACGACGCTGTCCCTGAACCTGAGCACCCTCCTCTTGTCCACTGTCTTGTGATCGTGGGCCATCGCCATGACCATCTGAGGGAAAATCAAGACGACATCCGATGCCACTTCTGTCTGGTATGGGCCTCATCATAGCGGACATTCGCTAACATCGGATGGCGTCTTGATTTTCGTTGGGAGGGGCAGTGCTCTCCTCACATCTTGCTCGGCCTAGACCCCATCCCACCCATCCCCCTTCGTCTCATCCTCGATATTCCTACTCACCCCCGCTCCTCATCATCCTCATCTACATCCTTCTCCATGACCTTCTTCGAGCATGCCCCTCTTAGATCTTCCTTGCCTCCTCCCCTTACCCTTCCTCCTTGAGACACCCCCGCCCTATCCAGTCATCTTCCTCTTTGGCCTGTGTATAGAATCATCCGTCCTCTCCTCCTCTTTCTCCTCGTGTTCCTCTTGGGTTTCCCCGACCCAGGTCGGACCAGCATGCATCGATGGCTCAGGTCCGCCCTCGCTGCATCGTCAAGGTCGGTGGACGTCCAATCCTTGTCTTTCACGCTGACCAGCTGGCACGCGTTATCCTTCGTGCCTGCTACCGTGTAGTACACGGAGCCGATCTTCTCGCTCGCCCTCCTAATGAGAAGGTGGAAGGAGGTGAGGGAGGAGGATGAGAGGGTCTGAGGACGAGGATTGTCAGATAAATTATCATCTGACCCGATGTCGGATCCTCCGCGGCCCGAACGCCCGATCAACCCCTCATGGTCCAAGGAGGGGGAGGCGGAGGAGGAGACGGAGGAGGAGGAGGAGGAAGAGGAGGAAGAGATGAGGACGACGACGAGGATGAGGAGGATGAGGAGAAGGAGGAAGAGATGAGGGTGCCGAGGAGGATATGCGATATACAGGAGATGAGGGCGAGCAGGACCAGGAGAAGGAGCAGCAGAACGAGAAGCAGGAGACGAGGAGCGGATGCGCCAGCTGGAGAGAGGGTCTGAGGAGGAATCAAGCAGGAGGCTCGAAGAGGACGAGCAGGAGTAGGATGAGGAGGGGGGGCGTGAGGAGGACAGTCCTCCTGTAACTGACCAAGTACGTGACGCCGAGCTCTGCCTCGTAAGTGAAGGGCCCAGAGTAGAGCACAGGCTCGCCTGTGCTGTGAGTGCATTTTCTGTATTCTCCCTCCCCACCGTCGATCCTCGAGTCCTCGAGTCTCGATTGCCCTCCTCGTCCTCGTTTTGTTCCTCCATGCTCTTCTCTCCTCCATCCCCTTTCCTGTGCCATCCATCCTCCTCCCTTTGTCGTTCCTGCTGTTCATTATCATGCTCATCCACCTGCTTCGTCTTGGCCCTCATCACTCGATGTACGTCGACCCTCGATCTCCTCCATCTCCTCGATCTCCTCGGCTCCCATCCCCATTTCATCGTCAATCATGTCAATTCGCCTGCGTCATGCGCGGAATCCTCGACGTCGATGGCCTCCGCGCCGTCCTCGGCGTCGGCGATCGTCTCTGCGCCGTCCTCGGGCTTGGCGTCGACGATCGCCTCCGCGCCGTCGACGGCGACGATCGCCTCCGCGCCGTCCTCGGGCTCCTCGGCGTCGACGATCATCTCCGCGCCGTCCTCGACGATCGCCTCCGCGCCGTCCTCGACGATCGCCTCCGCGCCGTCCTCGGGCTCCTCAGCGTCGACCGCCTCCGCGCCGTCCTCGTCGACGATCGCCTCAGCGCCGTCCTCGTCCTCCTCGGCGTCGCCGTTCTCCTGGCCGAGCTCCTCGACCTCCGCGACCACGCTCTGCACCTCGAGACTGAACGAAAAAAGATATTGGAGGAGCGGAAGCTCGAGGGAGGGGGCTGCGCAGGGAGGTATGCCAAGTTTATGTTGTTCTTGATTCTTTCCCTCGCTCAAGGCATGAAGGGAACAACCGCGAACGGTATAGGAGTTGCACCCCCGCGCCCGCTCGGACGTCAAAGCTGACCATCGAGGAGGATAGATGAGGAGGAGGAGGAGGAGAAGGAGGAGGAGAAGGAGGAGGAGGACGACGACGGAGCAGTTAGATCAGCCGCGGCACCGCGGCTGCAGGCCGCTTCAGCGGCGAGGCAGCAGGCCGTTTCATTGTCGCCATCTTCGCCTGGGCTTGCTTCGCCTGCGCCATCTGCTTCACCTTGGTCACCTGCGCCATCTGCTTCACCTGCGCCATCTGCGTCACCTGCGCCATCTGCTTCGCCTGCGCCATCTGCTTCGCCTGCGCCGCCATCTGCTTCACCTGCGCCATCTGCTTCGCCATCTGCTTCGCATGCGCCACCTGCGCCGCCTGCTTCGCCTGCGCCACGTGCGCCATCTGCTTCGCCTGCGCCATCATCTGCGCCATCTGCTTCGCCTGCGCAGGCCGCTTCACCACTGGCAGGTGGAGCTGCTCCTCCTTGACCTCGAGGCGCTCGATCTGCGCCGCCGTACGGCCGCCGTCCCGCTGCACGATCTTCCTCTTCTGCGCCGCCGTTCTAGGGCCGCGTCGACCGATCGATCGACCCGATCCGTCCACCCACCGATTGATGGACCCATCGATCGATGGGTCGACCCATCGACCAATGGGCCCAAGATCCTTGGATCGATATCATCCTCAATGGATCGACGTATTGATCGATTCATCGATTCCTCGATTGACGCTGAATTAGAAGTCAGCTGGGAAAACTTCGATCACCCCTATCCATGTGTAGATCTTCCTCCTCCTCCTCCTCCTCCTCCTCGTCTGCTTCCTCCTCCTCCTTCTCCTTCTACACCTCCTCCTCCTCCTCCTCCTCCTCCTCCTCCGTTGATTCCTCCTGTTACTTGTCGTCCCCCTGCTCCTCCTAGTATACCCCTCCCCCTCCTCCTCCTCCTCCTCCTCCTCCGCCTCCTCCTCCTCCTCCTCTAGTGTGCTGCTCCTCCTCCTCCTCCTCCTCCTCCTCCTCCTCCTGTTTCTCTCTTCGGAATCCCGAGTGTCCGCTTCTTCAGGCCGAGGAGCGACCGGATGAATGGAATCTTGATCTTCTGGAGGCAGGCGGGGCGGCGCGGGCTGCTCGACTTCATCATCACCATCTGATCTTCTGGATGGGGCGGCGCACGCTGCTCGACTTCATCATCATCATCATCACGATGGGGCGGCGCACGCTGCTCGACTTCATCATCATCAGCACGATCTTCTGGATGGGGCGCAAGCTGCTCGACTTCATCATCATCACGATCTTCTGGATGGGGCGGCGTTGGCTGCTCGACTTCATCATCATCACGGTCTGCGGGCTCGAGATCATCATCATCATCACGGTCGTGCTCGAGCCTCGCCTGCACCCGGCTTGCTGCTCTCGCTTCCTAAGCCTCGCCCCTCAGTTTTCCTCCCATTCCTCCTCCATCGATCCTTTCCCCCAACCATCTTCCCCTCGGATCCGTTCCCTCCGACGTCCGAATCTACACCCCAGGTTCCCCAGGGGCTCGGAACAATCAAGACCTTAGCACTCCTCTCCCCCCTGGCACCTTCGCCAACATAGCCTTCAGGCTCTCCTGCGTGATCTCGTTCTCGTCGTCCCTGTCATTGGGGTACGGAAGCTGCGAGCACGTATCGTCCTGGCCGAAGGTGTGAAGGTTCGAGCCTCCTCCGCTCCGCCTCCTCTTCCGCCCCTTCGTTATCACCTTGCTCCTGCCGTTTACCTCCCCTCCTCCTCCTCCTCCTCCTCCTCCTCCTCCTCGTGGTCACCGTGCTCTTGCTGCTGATACTGGTTCCTCTTCATCCTCCTACTCCTCCTCCGCCGCTTCCTCCTCCTGATCATCCTCCTTCACATCCGTCTCCTCATCCTCCGTTCTCCGCCCTCGAGGCCGAACTCGCTCTTGGTCGGGATGCCGAGGTCGGAGTGATCCTCGGCATCTCGATCACCGATTTCAGATGACCGGCGAGAAGAAAGGACGGACATCTCCCTCATCTCTCCTTTAGCTCCCTCATCTCCCTCATAATACGTCTCATCATCTGTCCTGAGTATCTTGCTTCGACACGCAGTGAACCTCCTCGCGGCGCCAGTGCGCGTGGATCGTCCTGATGGCCATGGCTTGTAAGAACCTGAGGACGCAGGGGCGCGCAATACGTTGGAGGAGGATCGTCGAGGAGGAGCAGGATCAGGCAGAAGTAGACCGACCAAGAGAAGGGAGGTCCAGAGGTCCAGGGGTCCACCGGCGTGCGCCGGAGCGCGCCCTGCTCGGGCTGCCGGGAAAAAAGGCTTCTCGCAGAACCAAAGTTATTGAATGCAACAGATTCCCTAACTGTAGATGACGACATCGTCCGTCCATCGCTTCAGCGGACGGCCTGGCGCCCTGTGCCCCACCGGCGTCCAGTCCAGCGCTGCTTTCGACCACCTGCCATCGGTGCTGCCGACGATCTTCTGCAGCAAAGCAGCTTTTCGACGTTTCTGCAATTGTACCCAATTATGAAAACCGGCTTTCTCGTACTCGCCCACTGCTTTCTTAGTCGCCCGGCTGATCCACTCCACGGACGGCTCGTCCGTGCCGCCTTCAGAAATTGCTTTCAGCGGTGGCGTTGCAACAACTTTCCGAAGCATCTTGCGCAATTCTGTCTGTAGCTTTGTCTCCCTCGCCGCCGTCATAGTCCACGTCCCACTACCGTAGAGGACAGTTGATGTGACCACGGCATCGAACAGGCGAAAACGAGAACGCAAAAGGTAATGCTTATTACACAGCACTGCTTTGAACTTGCCGAAGGCCCCCCATCCCTTAGCAATGCGGCTCTGTATTTCCACGTCATGAAGATCCTGGAAGCAAAGCTTGCGCCCGAGATAAGACACATTTCCGCCCACTGGGAGCACTTCCACCCTGCCAGCCCCGACTGGCACGTGCGATTGCGCAAGGACCCCTCTCCGGTCAACAACATTCGACAAGATTTTGGTTTTGCCCATATGCAGCGTCAGCCCAGCTTCGCCAGCGCGAACTGTCAAGTCTTCCAACATGTGCCGAACATGCGCCCGCGTAGCTCCAATCAGCATGATATCATCTGCGAACCGGAGATTCGTGAGACGTTTGCCTCCTACTCTCACCCCGAAGCCTTTCTTATCCCACTTCTGTTTGAGGTCGCGCATAATCGACTCCAGCAAACCGTTAAACAAAGTAGGGCTCATCGGATCACCTTGTTTTGTCCCCCTTTCCAAAGTGAAAACTCGACTCGCGCGGTCTGACAAGATCTGCCCTGTCTGCCCCTCGTACAGCCTGCGCAAAACACTGATATACGAAGCAGGGACGCCTTGCTCGCTCAGGGACGCCCACAGTGACGTGTGACTGACGGAATCGAACGCCTTCTCGAAATCCACAGCTGCCACCCAGAGAGCAATATTGTGTTCATACATTTTTTCGTGCAGCAGAACTAACGTTAGTAGGTGGTCGTCGCAACTGTATCCTTTCCGGAATCCAGCTTGGTCCACCGATTGCTCTTCTGTAAGGTATGCCAACAATCTTCCGTGTAATACCATGCTGAACAGTTTGTACAGAATCGGAAGGATCGAAATGGGGCGATAATTGCTCGGCAACTTGGGGTCACCTTTTTTGAAAAGCACTTTGATGCACGTGTGTTTCCATGTCTGCGAAGGCTCCTCCCCGTCGGTCAAAATACTCGTAAAGACGCGGGATAACACTTCCAACAGATAGTCGCCACCAGCCTTGAACATCTCTGCAACTATGCCGGCCGAGTCCGACGCCTTGCCTTTCTTCAATTTCTTTACCTGTCTTCTGACCTCTTCAGTACTTACCGGCGGTATGCCCGATTGCACACTTGTAGATGACGGCGTGTTCCCGGCTTCCCCGGGGCAATGCTTTCTGGAGTACAAATCTTCATAGAACGTCGCAAATACGTCTGCTATGCCTTGCCTGTCCGAGACTTCAACCCCCTCGTTGTTTTTCACACACGTCAGCCGCTGCTTCTTAAAATTGTTACCAATATTGTGTATTCTCCCAATGTCAGAAAATTCCCGCAATATGCCGTCTATCTTTTCTTGTTTGCGCTGCCGGTCCCAAGTTCTTAACTCTTTCTTCAAGTCCTTGCTGATGCATTTGATTGTCCTTTGACCTTCACCCCCTTTCCGCGCTGCTCGTCGTTCGTCGAGCAGCTGTCGAATCCGAGGAGGCAGCTCTGTCCGTCGTTTTTTCTTGGTCACATTGTTGTGTGCGCATTTCTCTGTAGCTGATGACATTGCGGACTCAATGCGCTCGCAAAGCTCTGCGGCCGGCAACGTGCCACCCGGCTCGTCCAACCCGCACGTCGCCTTCAATTCTTCCTTCAACGTATCATCGAAGCTTGGATGCCCAGTAAACCGGCGTTTGTTCTTGCGCTGTGCCGGCTCTCGTTGGTCGCCCCCGGGCCTGGGCAGTCGTAAGGTTAGCTTTACCCCTCTGTGGTCCACTCCTACCCCAATGTCTGGTATAGCTGCAGAGTATGTTGTACGAGTGCTCATCTCTGCGTCCGTACAGAAAAAATCGATTTGCCGATGCTTGTTTCCATCATAGTGTGTCCAGTTGCCGCAAGATGAGCTGGGAAATTGTGTGTTCGCAATCGACAAGGTTTCCTCGGCGACCCATGCAGCTAGGTCGTCACCTCTGCGATTGCGTACGCCGAATCCGTGCTCTCCGATGCACGCGTTGTCCACCAGGTCACTCGCTGCGCCCACAGAAGCATTGAAGTCGCCTCCAACAATGAAAGCAATATTTCTTAATATGGCCGCTTTTTTAATTGACGACATCGCAGCGTACACGGCTTCAGCATCCTCATCTGGCAGCCACGCGTTTGGCATGTACACTGAAAGCACTCGCACACAACGCATGTAGATGCGCATGTCAACCCAACATAGTCTGTCCGAGCGAGCCGTGAAAGAGAGAATGTTGTCTTTCCAGCGTCGGTGTACTATCATAGCAACGCCGTTGGAATGTTTGCAACCTCCAGAGCCCATGAAAACATGCCCCTGCTCTGTTTGAAATTGCTCCTCTTTCTCCTCCCTCCAAGTTTCGCTCAATAAGATCAGATCCCATGTTCTTAAGTGTGACAGCTCCACCAATAATTCCTGTAATCTTGCCTCGGTTCTTACTGATTGCACGTTTTTGCACAGCATTGTAAATGACGCCGTATTGTCGCAACCCCCAGCCTCCAGCTCCTGCCCCTCACAGTTGTGCGTGCCATTGCATGTTCGTGGCTGATGGCGTAAGGCTGTCGCTATGCTTACAGGCAGGCCGCCGTCCACACTGCAATACTTCTCCCTCCCCCGCTGCTCCGGACAAAATCACTAGCGATGTGCCCATTGTCTGCTGGATGAGTGCGGGCCCTTCTGGATGTCATCTGAATCCTTCCCCGGGTTTTGTCCGTTGCTTCCGAACTTGTCACTTGCCGGCAGGGCTCCGGCTGTCCCTCCAATCCTCCATGACATCTTCGGTCGCGCGCTGCACCGTGATACCCTCGTCCTTGTACTTCATGGTGCCGTTCTCCATCCACGCCACTACCTTACTGTTTAACTCCACCACCTGCGTTTTCCATTTTATTTTGGTGTCTTTGAGATCATGCCCCTGGTCCTCATGAAGCCTACCCTTGATCTGCCCCAAATGCTTGTCGACGACTCGCTTCTCAAAGGGATCGTTACACTTGAACTTCATTGCGTTCCCGTTGGCCCATTTCGTGTCCATGCTGTTGGTTTTCTTGAGGAAGCCGAACTTTGCCGCAACAGACCGGAACTGCACGACCCCGATTCTCGATGGATCTGTGAAGGTAGTGATGTTTGTGCACCGCCCTTCCGCACCTGCTTTCCTGACAACCTCACGCACCTGCTTAATGATCTCCTCCTGGTCCTCCTCATCTTTCACCCCCCCCGCGATGACCTGTAACTCCCTCGACTCCTCCTCACTTTCCTGCTGTGGCTGCTTCTGCCGCACGTGCTTATCCTCCATCGTTTCCTTCACCCTCTCCTCCACCTTCTCCTTGACCCTCTCTTCCACCTTCTCCTCCACCATCTCCTTGACCCTCTCTTCCACCTTCTCCTCCACCATCTCTGCGATCATGTAGCGCACCTGGGCCTGCGTGACCATAAGGTCCATGTCGTTCCTGATGTCCGTGACGTCCATCTCCAAATCATCAACTTTCTCTTTGACATCCCCTGCAATCTCCTTCGCTTCCTCCGCCTCCTGCCGGGCCTCCTTGATGAGCGACTTGAGTTTGCCCATCTTCTTTGTAATCTTGCTCAGCCGCTTCTCTTGCCTCTCCTCGAATTTCCGGAACCATGGCGGAGCATCCGCATCAGGCACCAGATTGCTCTCCTTCCCCTCGTCACTGCTGGAGATATCTTCGATCGCCTGCTTGCGAGCACGTTGCCGCTCAGGCGAGTCCACCATACCACTGGATTCACGTTTTGACTTGGATCCCTCTGGCATCTTATCTCAAGCACGGTGCCAAGACGGTTACTTGTGCCAAGACGGTTATTTGAGCCAATAGTTACTTGAGCCAAAATGGCTACGGATATGGTCGAGGACGAGGATAAGGTCGAGGACGAGGAAGAGGATGAGGATAAGGTCGAGGACGAGGAAGAGGATGAGGTCGAGATGGAGGAGAGGAGGGAAGAGGTGAGGATCCATGAGGATGAGAAGACGGATCAAGAGGGGACGATTAATCATGGTCTGAACCTGTGTGCATCTATCACGTTGTTGGAGGGTTTGCGCTTCCTGGGGTCGTCCTGTCGCAACTTCTCGCTGAACGCCTCGCGGTAGACGTGCTGCCACGCAGCCTACTTGCACCAGGAGGGGAATGTCCTCCTCTGCATTATCCTCCTCCCCATCATCATCCCCTTCTCCTCATCCTGTTCCTCCTCCGTCGCATCATCATCATCATCATCAGCAGCAGCAGCATCATCATCATCACCGTCGTCATCAGCATCATCAGCATCAGCATCAGCAGCATCATCAGGATCATCAACAACATCAACATCATTGCCAGCATACTCACCATCATCATCATCGTCATCATCATTAGCACTACCATTACCATCCTCAGAGTCGTCATCATCATCACTATCAGCAACACCATCAGCATC